TTTCTTAAAAAACGTTTGATAACTATCTGGATATTATAAAGATTTCGCATGTGGAATTTGAAAATTACCTTGCATGTTGGACAGGCAACATGCGAAAAGAAAAAAAGCCATGAGAAAAACATTGCTTTACAAACCTTAAGACTTAATATAAAAAAATTATATTTTGCATATGAAAGCATTCAAATGTTTACTGATAATCTGCCAAATTTTGTTGACATTTACTTACTAATTTAAAAGTTATAGCATGAATAATATAACAAACACAAAATGGTTACGAGGTTGGTCCCACAAACTGAGCCTGTGCTGAAAGAGTTAATGTAAGACTGACTTCAGTAGGTGAAAGTACGAGGAGGATAAAAAAATTTTTTAGTGTTAGTTTACAACAGGTTTAAGAAAGCAGTTTCACTTTTAACAAATATTGTGGAAAACTTCAGTTCAAGATTAACATTTTATTTGCACAGTGGTTAATATCATGTTTATATGTCATTCATGGACATTGTTCTTCATAGAAGGCTTTATATGCTCATTAGTTTGAGTATTTTCGCTGGCCATTTAAAATAACTATAGTTTATCGTTATACTTCCATTTAATAATTATTAAACATGTTGAATAGGTTTCAATGAATTATGGCAGATCAGTTGGTAAGATGGAGTTTTTAAATAAGTCATTTACCTTGATAACAGATAATTCTATCCTGGAAAGCCCTTGAAAACTCCTGTAATTTTAATCTTAAAATTGTGTGAATCCTGCAAAGTTATAATACATAATTTCTTCTGTCTATATTCCCTCGACCAAAGCATTAACTTGAATAGCTCATTTAAAATTGTGTCCATAGGACCTCCACCATGGGTAAAAGCTATTGTTATTTGTTATTGTTGTTATAAACACAAAAAGGAAAGGAAAAACTAATCTAGTCATTTCCAGATGTTTAGAGGAACATGTGTGCAATAAACATTATTTCAGTAGTTGACTGTTAAGGTTTTAGTAACTTCATACTTTCTCATAGCTTCCATAGTTAGGTTAGTCTCTATTACCATCATAACCAGTTAATTTTGTAACAGTTATTATAATTTATCATTTAAATTGAGCTGAACAGTAATGCAATAAAACAGATGATGACATCAGGCACTTTCTACAAAGGAACTAGGAAATGTGACTCATGAAAAGGGAAATATACTTACATGGCAACACTGATCAGTAACAGGCTTTGAACTGTGTATCTACACCTGCAATCTACAGGTTTCACGTGACTTGTTGGAATTATATTGTTAGCATAAAATAAGCTTAAGACTAAAATGATAAAATTTTTCATAGGATAGAGTATGGATGATTCAGAATTTTCCTATTCCATCTTCAAAATATACTTTTCAAAAATAATTAGTGTTTGTCACCTAAGTTCTTCATCAGTTATTAACTTAAAATCATCAGTTAAAAGAGGAATGTAAATCCAAATGGTAACAATATAAAAGAATGAGGAGAGTCATAAACCTGTTACCACCATGCATGAAATATAAAGGTTATATTGACCCACTGGGTTTCCAGTTCTTTGAAAAGTTCTTTGTGTGGTAAAACTACAAGATATACAACATTGTTAATGTGTGCATGATAGTGGTCTTGGTAACAATATGAGTGTGAATCTCTGCTTATTGTTTATTTGTGTTTTTATTTTCATGATGTTGCAAAGGATTTTATGTAATATCTGTTAAAACTATAAATGTTTGTTGTTTTAAAAGATATTTCTTTGATTTGTTTAATCATTAATAAGCTGATTAGTAGCTGAAATTTATTTTAGGACAATAAGTATTTCCCTGTTTTATATAAACATTAATGTTAAACATGTTTTCTGTAGCTTAGTATTAGGTTGAGTGAATGTGTATATTCTGTTAAACTTGCAGTAAAGCTTAGAAAAACAGTAAAGAATGTAGTAGTAGTAAGTCAAAAATAAGCAGAAACTATGAACAGACTTACAAAAAAATATTCATCTTAGCTCTCAATTTGAGATGTCTATCCCAAATGACATGAAGTTTAGCACTGTTGTTTGCCAATGCATTCTGTATAAACTCCAGCAGTTAATTGATTTTTTATGATGTTCACAGTTAAATAGTTAGTTTACAAATGAATCAATCGAATAATAAAAATAAAATAATATAAGACATGGAGCTATTTTATAACTATTTTGTGGTTACTATGCTTGTGTTCCAACAAGAAGAAAACAGAAATATTCATTTGTACCATTTCAGTTTTTACCTATAATTAATGTTACAACTGCAGTACATTGTAGTTTAACACTTTTCATAAATGCTATTGTTTTTATTAATAGTTATTTATCAACATTTGTGTTTCACTTTTTCTGCTTTTATTTAGTAGGAAGAGGTGGTTATCGAGGAGGTCCAAGTCAACCAAGTAAGTTATCTTTATTTATTTTCGAACCAGAGTACAGTTACTTAATACTAATGATATTTTTGCTGCTACTTCAGTTGTCAAGAATCATGTAATCAAATTTTCATCTTTGATTGAATATGAAGATATTTCACAATCTGAGGAAAGAGATTAGCCACCTTACAATAACAGTCATTGGACAGCCCTTCAACATTGTTTAAACTAAATGTTCCAGTTTATGATTGTCATTTTAGGAGATGAATATTCCTTTGACATCATGATATCTGCCTATGAGAAAGGCAGCATATTTGAAACTGTGATCATTTGGGAATAAATTATGTTTTATTTATTTTCAAATGACAAACGTGAAATTTCAACTGGTTGTTTCTTTGGGATGTTGATGTTTCTTGCAAATTAGTCATTAAAATAAATTATTCCAATAAATCATTAAATTATGTTTTTAAGTGAATACGTTAGGTGTATGTATATCCCAAAACAAAATGAGTAACTTGCTTTTCTGTGTTACATATTTGTACCAGTTTTTGAGAGTTTTGATGATTACTGTGAGATGAAGTTTTCTTGATCTCGGTTATAGAGTTAGATGAACATATGCCTTAGTTAATGTACAGTGTTTTTGCATGAATATAAATAGGTTTAACCAATTTAAGGCAGAATATTTATTTCTAGTAGTTCTAATTGAATTTTTACAAAACTAATGATACTTAAAATGCTTATTCTGTTTATATACACATTGTCAGAAAGTTTGTTTTAATGTAAAATTGCTATTTTTAGTACCTTGGATGTTTCCTTCCTGTGGCCCATTTTAATGGGAAATTAATAGATCTTAGTGTAAATATGTTTCTCTATTATTATGACTGTTGGGGCATCTTATATTTGTGACAATTAACTAGTAGGACTAGCTTACAAACTTTAGTTCAGCTACAGTAGTCCTGAGATTTTACTATCATTTTTTGTTTTACAGTTTGCTATTATACATTTTTAATTTCACGTATAAATGCTTAACAGGTGTAAAAATAGCTGAGAAGGATGTTGGAATATATATATATATATATATATATATATCCCTTTAGAAACACACCAGTGTTGTAGTCTAGATCTCGTTGTCTGAGACTGAGACCTTATAATATATTACACGATGAAAAATAACGTAAGAAGAATGAAAATCATGCATCAAACAAACTTTTATAAAATACATCTTAACTGCAAATCTTTTATTAACCTCACAGTCTTTATTTTAACGTCTCCTCCTATGAAAAAAATAAATGAATAAAAAAAAATCAAATAGGTCAGCAAATAAAACAAAAGAAAACTGTTGTAGTTTTCCAAAAGTTTATGGTGTCAGTGAATTCTTTATGATTTCTAAAGCCAAACAGGATCACAGCAGATCTACTAGACGCGTTTAGTATCAGGGATAATTTCTAACACTTGACATAAGTATGTGCACCAGATGAAGTTCATACAAACTTGTAGCAAGCCTATGCATAATGCAATGTATAGTAGCAATTATTTTTGAATAGCACATGTTATAACTGCAGTTAGACGTACAGAT